GTTGAATAGGAGTGGTGAGAGTGGGCATCCTTGTCTAGTTCCTGTTCTTCAAGGAAAAGCTTTCAGCTTTTCCCCATTCAAGATGATATTGGCAGTGGGTTTATCATATATGGCTTTAATTGTGTTGAGATACTTTCCATCTATACCTAATTTAGAGAGTCTTTGTCATGAATGAGTGTTGAATTTTATCAAATGCTTTTTCAGCATCTATAGTTTTATTGTTATTCTTCTATTCAGATTTTCTACATCTTCTTGGCTTAGTTTTGGTAGTTTATGTGTGTCCAGAAATTTATCCATTTCCTCCAAATTTTCAAATTTGTTGGCATATAGTTATTTATAGTAGTCTCGAATGATTCCTTGTATTTCAAAGGTATCAGTTGTAATATCACCTTTTTCATTTCTAATTTTTGTTATTTGGCTATTCTTTCTTCTTTTTTTAGTTAGCTGTGCTAATGGTTTGTTAATTTTATTTATCTTTTCAAAAAACCAACTTTCTGATTCATTGAACTGTTGTATTGTTTTTTGGGTTTCAATTTTATTAAGTTCTGCTCTGATCTTAATTATTTCTTTCCATCTGCTAACTTTGGGTTTGGATTGTTCTTGTTTTTCTACTTCTTAAGGTGAAATGTTAAGTTGTTCACTTGCTGTCTTTCTGTTCTTCTGAAGTAAGCATTTACTGCGTTAAATTTTCCCCTTAGTACTGCTTTTGCAGTATCCCACAGGTTTTGGTATGATGTATCATTGTTTTCATTAGTTTCAATGAATTTTTTTATTTCCTGTTTGATTTCTTCTTGGACCCATATATCATTAAGTAGAATGCTGTTTAATTTCCATGTGTTTGCATAGTTTCCAGAATTTCTTTTATTATTGATTTCTAATTTTAATCCATTGTGGTCTGAAAAAAATACATGGGATAATTCCAATTTTTTTGAATTTGTTGAGTTGGTCTAGAGTGTTGTCTAGATCTTGTGTTTCTCTGCAGATTCTTTGCACAATATTGATAGTGGGGTGTTCAGGTCCCCTGCTATTATGGTATTAGTGTCTATTTCCTTCTTTAGGTCTAATAGAGTTTGTTTTATTAATCTGGCTGCTCTGACATTGGTTGTGTATATATTTATGATTGTTATGTCTTCTTGATGGATCAATCCTTTTATCATTATGTAGTGTCCCTCATTGTCTCTTTTTATGGTTTTTAGTTTAAAGTCTATTTTATCAGACA